GATTTCCCCTCCCCCCTCCTATTGTTCTAATGTTTTAGCGGAATTTTTTTTTTTCCAACAGAGACTACCCACTTTAGGAGTTTCAATCCCTGAGGTGTGTAACATAGAGGTGTCCACATATACATAAGTGTAAAAGGATCTTGATATTGCAACATTCTTCTTGCGATAAAGTGCATTTTGGGGCTGGCCTAGTGGTTTTGTGGTGGAGGTCTACATTTTGTGGTGGAGGTCAGTTGAAAAGCCCTATTTCAGTTTTCAGGTTCTTTCTCTCTTATCTGGAGGCAGTGCTTCATAGTACTCAACAGTGACTCCCTGGAGTGATATTGAGTGATCCAAGTTCCATCCTATCTAACAGCCAAGGGATAGTGTGACAAAGTGGGAAATGTGAGGGGGAGAAAAAGGGGTATGAAAGATGGGAAAATGTGTAGAATTAGAATACTCACTTGGTGTAACAAGGGTTGTTTTGAATGTTATCAACCTGAAGAATGGACAGAAGAGCAGAACAATTTCATTCTGTAAGCCATCAAAATGTACATTAACTTTTCAAAGTGCTACATTGAGTAACTCTCACTCAACTTCACCCATGTCCATCAGACAAAATAATTTACAGCTACATCATTCATGCAATAAAAAAAAATCATTGAATAGAACATAGTTCTAGTATAAATGTCTCCCATCTTGAAAATAAATGTCTGCATTTTGCAAGTTCATTTATTTTAAGCATCGGCTTTGCCTAACATTAATTTAGAAGTTGTGCACCATTGTTCAGAAATGTTTTTATTAAATTGTTATTATCTCTTTAAATTGCCATTTTTAGTTTCTGATAAAACCTTGGATATCATAGTAACATCCCAATTCTTGAAAACTTTCCCCTTTTAATTGTAATTAGAAAGGAACCTTCATTTAGATTTTCTTCGATAGAAGTATACAAAACATCAGTGCTAGAGAATCTGAGAGAAGATTTTTTGGCCACAAAATGTAAATTTCTTTCTGTATTTGTATTAATGCAAATATACAGTAAACAGTCAAGATGTCGATCATAGTATACATGTATCTGTACTATGGGCCAGATCCTTGTTGGTGCAATGCACGTAAAAAACCTGTGCCTAGCAGCAGGAGTGTGGAATAGAAGGTGGACAGTCCCTTATCTGCCCCTTCAAAACATTACAGAGAGGACACTCTTCTGGCCCGCCCATGACATACTCTGGTGTCCTATATGTACCTAAGATAGATGGCAGGAAGTACAGATATTGCTGAGTATAGGCTAGTGTATGTGCCAGACCAAAATAAGGCAATTCATGATCCAAAGCACACTGCAACACTCCATTAACTCTGGTTCTGCCACTCCATCCCTGCCCCAGCAACGTGACCCCGCCATCTGTTGGAAAAGTGACAGCAGGTGCCTCATAATACAGAAACACTGTTTCGGTTCTGTACATTTGAGATGTTTAGAGTTGCAGTTGGGATTGATGGATGTATTGCAACACCATTTTTGAAGCAGGCATTAGATTCACTGCGGCAGTCCCTTGGGGAAAGTCCTGTAGAAGTTAATACAGAATAAATATACATTTTTAGAAATCCCTGTAAAACAATAGATTATAGTAGATAATGTCTGTTCTGTAGATTTTCATAACATCTAATGGAATTCTATAGCAGGAATATAATTTTTCAGTTATACTCTATAGGGTATAGATATGCTATAGGAAACTCCTATATTTCTGTTAAAGCCTGTAGGATTTTTCTGTTTCCAGTGTATGGAGAAATCTTACAGTATAACTGTGCAGGAGAAGCTTTCTTGTTCAGTTAGGCAAATTGTTGTCTAAACCAGACTACAAGTAATACAAGCTGGATAAAGGATATTGCTGGAAATGGAAGCATCAGCCATAGTGCCAAGTGAGGGGCTTTGCTGTTATCTGGGTCTCACGCTGGGATTAAAAAAAACAACAACAACTGTGCTTGAGGTAATCATCACTTGCTGCTTCTAGTTTGTGAATGATCAATAACAGCAGATTTGGGTATTGTGGTAAACATCGCTTTTGTGAAGACTATTCTCAGCAATGTAAAAATACTACTTCTCTGAGAAACAGCATGGTGTAAAAAGAGATTTTTAACAGCACATATTAGGAATAGACCTATTTTTTAAATAATTTATTTTTTCTCTGTTAAAATTATTTCCCCCTTTATATGTTGGATTTTACCCCTTTCCCTTATCTTCAGTGTTGTTCAATCTGACACTGTTTAGAGTTTGAATTCTCCCCAATTCCCTGACTTCTGTCCTTAAACCATTTTTGTATATCAGCCACACATGATTTGAGCTTTGAAAATACTTCAACATCAATAGCCATATTTGATCTTTTGCACCAAGGTATTACAAAATCCTACTTAACTCATGTATTTTCTCTTCATGTAGCTCTTATTAATTTTTGAGTGATTAATCTTGCTGATAATAATTATTTCCAAAGTTGTTTAGAATGTTTCTTGTTGTGCGGAATTTGTTTTAATATTTGAAATCGTCTCTCTTCGCTCATAGCACTACCAGATTCCCCATTTAAAAATACTAGAGTGAGTGGCACAGTGGATTTGTGCAAGGCATATCTGAGTTTAACTCTTGTGTTAGATAAAAAATGAAAATCCGATTGGTTGTCTCATCCTGGTCCCAATTTGTAAAAATCATAAAAGCCATGCACTATTGACAGTCTCGGGGCAACACAGAGAATGTGTGTGTTTTGCAGATCAGTGCTGAGATGCATTGCCAAGGCTGTTCAGGTAAGCTTGTACAATGCCTGGCCAACACTGTTAATCTGTCCCTTGACTAAGCATTACATGTACTTTGATATTTAAAACAACTAAGTTACATGCCAGATTCTTGGGCCCTGTGAAGGGGCATGTCCTCACACTGGTATGGAGGAGACTAACAAGCTCTTCAGGGCATGTTCCACACTAACAAGATGTACCGTGAAGGCTTGTTCAGTCTGCAGGAGCAGGAGATTAAAAGGAGGAATTTACCACTGGAAGGGGTAGTTAACAGGAAGAAGGCTGCTCCACCCAGAGACTGAGGGTAACAGAGGTAGTCCAGCAGAGTAGGAAACCGTTCTGATTGACAGCAAAGCAATATGTCCCAGGAAGAGGGGTAGAAAGTAAACCCCATGAAGGGGTAATAGACTCTGGGAGACTAAGCCCTTAGAGCTGGATATCCAGGGGCTGTCTGAGAGACTAGCCCTCTTTCCAGACAGATCCTCCTTTCTCACAAGGGGAAGGGAAGAGGAGGAGCCAATCCTTCATCCCTATGCAATTGCCTCAGAAAGCTTCCCCAAGTGCTAGAGGGTAAAGAATGGACAGTGGGACCTGGGGGAGGAAGCGGGGGGCAGTCCAGGGAGCCCCTTCCCAGCCCACTATAATCCTATTGTACTGGTACAGAAGTGAAAAGCATCCAAAAGACCAACTTAACTGTCTTCTTGAAGGTTCTTACTGTGCAGGGAAAATATTCAGCAAGTATAGAGTGCCATATCTGTTCTGTGCTATACACCCGTAGGCTCCTATTGGAGGTCAGAGTGCTACTGTCCTTCAGCAATCCCTGGCTGCTGAAAGGGTCTCTTTGTGGCCATAAGCAGCCAGGTACAACTTAGGGCATCAAGAGGCAACTAGGAGCATTAATTTCTGCCAGGGCAAGAATGACCCCTGCCCAGACCCTGATTTGGGGAACACAATGATAGTATAAAGCCTCTGCTGCCCCCCAGTAAACCCCAATAGCAATAGTTCTGTTCAGGCATTGTACTAAGTCGAATGCCTGTCAGCTATGCCAGAGAATCTGTGTCAAAATCTCTTACTAATTAGTTTAAACTTCTTTAGAAAGAATGGGATAAAATAATTGCAGTGAAACCCCATTGGCTTTGCTGCAAGTACTCCAGGGATTGATTTGCCCCAGTATGTAACATAAGCTGTGGCATTTAATACATTGCTTATTGAGCACAGTTGGGGGGAGTGGGGGAGTGGCACAAAAGTGCCCTTCATGTGGTTTCCTGCTGAAGTAGTTCTGTGCCAGTCTAATCCCCTGGCTAGTTTAAAGCCCCTTTGTATGTCTGGAGTGATATAAAATTAATAGAGCACAGCCCAGGATTGGGGATACAGGTTTTACGTAATCAAGATCTTCCATATAATTTTGCATTGTATTTTGTGGACATGTGAAAAAGGACATGATGGATCTATTTTATAAATAGAGTAATAAATGAATAATACAGAGAACAAGTAGAATTCTCCCTCTTTTTAATTTTAAAGGTATCGCAAAGTTTGGTGAAACTAGTTGATAACAGTTGAAAGTCTGGTTGTCAAATCTCACAGTATTTCTCTTTCTACAGAGTTGTATCTTCTGTCTTTCACACACCCATATGCCCTGTGCATCAATATTATCAGAAGTTGCCAACCTCTTAGAAGTCTGATGTAGGTTAGCTGTGCTCTCTGTATATTGTTTCCCTATTCCACAAAATGTATCTTTTCTAAAAGAAAATATTTCTCTTAAATCTATATAGTCAATTTATTACAGTACCTGAAAGTATGAGTATATTTTGCCAGTGCCCAATGAAAGTGCTCTTAAAAAACTGTCTGTCCTGCATCAGAAACAGTTTTATAGAGATTAGTGATCTGTTAAAGAATTTCATTTTAAATTATTAGGAATTTATGTGATTAGCTTCCATGTTAGAGAACCTAGACCTGGCAGATGGGGATAATACAATATCAGATTATCTTTCACACCATTGCATTTCTTTTGTGATTGGACAGTTGTCATCTATCTATTGCCTAGCCTCTGTGGCACGTCTAGGCACATAAATAGATGTTGTGTGAAGTAGACAAACGTCACGTAGTGACTTGACTGAGGTCTCATTTTCACTAATGTAAGATCTGAATCTTTGCCTCTAGTGGAAAAGCTCGTACGCGGCTCCACTTTGTCAGCTAAAGTAAACTTGTATTCCATGTTAAAATGCCCTTTTATACTTTTCTTCTAGGAAAGACAGGCAACTGTGAAAAAGGAAAAGAGCTGTCCCCAGCAAATGAACAAATTGGGAGAACGGACTAAGATGCAAAGAGCAAATTCTGTCACTGTAGATGGACAAGGACTTCAGGTGTGATTGTTGTGGGTTTGTTGTTTTGTTTTGTTTTTTATATGGGTATTTATAGATTAAGAGAAGAAAACACACTGAGCAACCTTAAAAAGGAACCATTTCCTACAGTACGATATGAATATTTCCAATACTTCTAAGTATTAGAAAATACTACAGTTTACCTTACAATAATGTAAATGTTTCCTTCTCTAAGAATGTCATCTGTGCAGGATTCTCACTCCTGGTTCTCAGCTCTCTAGAATGAGACTGGTGGAACTTCCGAAACTCTTAAATTATTTTTAGCCACAAAAATGTACCAGTAACGGGCCAAAGCATGATTCAGGCCCTTCAACAGCTGATTGTACAGCTTATGTTGTCCATGCTTTGTAGATAACACTAAGTTCTGTGTTTCCATTAATCTGATAAATGGTGAAGGTACTCCATTTTTATTTATTTTGTAAAGCACCATGCACACATATTCATATATATTTAGGTCAGAAGGGACCATTATGATCATCTAGTCTGACCTCCTGCACAAGGCAGGCCACAGAATTTCACCCACCACTCCTGCAAAAAACCTCACACCTATATCTGTGCTATTGAAGTCCTCTAATCATAGTTTAAAGACTTCAAGGAGCAGAGAATCCTCCATATGGAACTATATGAACAATAATAGAGTAATACCTTGTTTCTTACCAGGATTCAAGCTTGGTTGAAGGCAAGATTGCTGAGGCTTTGTCCATATGAGCCTGAGTTTATAGTAGTAGGTTAGGGAAACAACCAGAAGATTTGGCAAAAGTGATATCTATGCCTTTGGTTGAGGGAGTTTGCCTGCATTTTGTAAGACAGATTCAAAGCTTGGTGGATTTATTGGATTCTTTACTACTTTAGGATGCCCTGCTAGTGCTAGTGATGAAAAGTACTTTTCTTATTTGTTTGGCCCGGAAGCTGTTTCTTGGAATCTACGTGACCCAAATAGCCCATTAGGGTGTTTCCATTGGAATTTTCAGAAGCACTCAGGTGCAGTTTCAGGTGCTGGTTTAACTTTTAAAGTCTTAAATGGCTTGGATCATCCTGTGTACTTCAAAGTCCCCCTTTTTCCTCATGTGATGCTGCAGCAGTTGGCAGTAAAATGACTGTACCTACTTGGGCAAGGAATCTGGGTGAAGCCAAGTAGAGACAACTGTGATGTCTATACACCAGTGTAAGGAACCTGGGTAACAAAATGCGGGAACTAGAACTACTGGTGCAGGAAGTAAAACTAGATATTATAGGGCGAATGGAAACACAGTGGAATAGTAGTCATACCTGGAATACAGGTACTGACAGGTATGTGCTGCAGAGATAAAGATGGTGGAGTAGTATTGTATACTAATGGTGAGGTAGACTGTAAAGAAATTAGAATTGGTGTAAGGGATATAATGAAATCTGTTTGAGTCAAATCACTCTGGGGAAGAAAGGCAACAGTGGGATATAGTGCTTGGGGTCTGCTACAGACCTCCAGGATCTGATTTGGGTAAGGACAGAGACTTCTTTAATATTTTTAATGAAATAAATACTACTGGAAATTGTGTGGTCATGGGAGACTTTAATATCCCAGATATAGACTGGAGGACAAGTGCTACTAATAATGATAGAGCCCAGATATTCCTGGATGTGATAGCCAACAGATTTCTTCACCAAATAGTCACTGAACCAACAAGAGGGAATGCTATTTTAAATTTAGTATTGGTAAGTAGCGAGAATTACTTAAAGGGCAACCTTGGTTTGAGTGATCATGACTTAATGCACTGTAAGCTAAAATTACATCTGCAATTAGGGGCCTTGCTTTTAAAAGGGCAATTTAAAAAAAAAATTAAGGGAATTAGGGAAGTTAACTGGACTGAAGTCAAGGTACTGAATGTGGACAAAGCTTGGAATTACTTTAAGACAAACTTGCAGAAACTGTCTAGAGCCTTCATCCCAAGCAAGGGGAAAAATTTGTAGGGAAGAGTTGCAGACCAAACTGGATAAACAAGCTTCTCAAACAAAATATTAAGAGAAAGCAGAAAGCCTACAAGGGATGGAAGAAGAGATGGATCATAAAGGAAAGCTACTTACTGGAGGTCAGAAAGTGTAGGGGAAAAGTGAGAACTGCCAAAAGCCAAGCAGAGTTGGACTTTGCAAAGGAAATTAAAACCAACGATAAAAGGTACTTTAGCCATAGGAAGAAAACAAGGAAAGAAGTGGAACCACTATGGACAGAGGGTGGGGTGGAGATTAAAGATAATATAGGTATGGTCCAACACCTAACCGAATACTTTGCCTCAGTTTTTAATAAGAATAATGAGGAGTTTTGGGGGGGGGGGCAGTAGCAAGTGGCTAATGGGAATGAGGATATGGAAGTAGAAATCACTACACCTGAGGCGGAAGTCAAACAGCTTAATGGGACCAAATCAGGGGCCTGGATAATCTTCATCCAAGAATATTAAAAAGGAACTGGCACATGAAATTGCAAATCCAATAGCAAGGATTTTTAATAAATCTGTAAACTCGGAGGTTGTGACTTGAAAATTGCAAATATAGTACCTATATTTAAGAAAGGAAGAAAAAGCGATCCAGAAAACTACAGTCCTATTAGTTTGACTTCAATTGTATGCAACATCTTGGAACAAATGTTGAAAGAGAAAGTAGTTAAGGACACAGAGGTAAATGGTAATTGGGATAAAATACAACATGGTTTTACATGACCTTACAAAAGGTCAGGCCAGGACAACCCCAATCTCTCTTTTTTTTAGAAGATAAGCTGATTTTCTAGACAAAGGAAATGCATTAGATCTAATCTACTTGGATTTCTAGTAAGGCATTTGATACAGTTCCACATGGGAAATTATTAGTTAAATTGGAGAAGGTGGGGATAAACATACAAATCGAAAGGTAGGTAAGGAACTGGTTAAAGGGAAGACTACAATGGGTCATACTGAAAGGGGAACTGTCAGGCTGGATGGAGGCTACTAGTGGAGATCAGTCTTGGAACCAATCTTATTTAACATTTTCATTAATGACCTTGGCACAAAAAGTTGGAGTGTGCTAATAAAATTTGCAGATGTCACAAACAAAGGTGTTACCAATACAGAAAAGGATGAGAATATCACACATGATTATTTGGATGACATTTAAAACTGGAGTAGAAATGGGATGAAATTTACTAGTGCAAAATGCAAGGTCATGCATTTAGGGATTAACAATAAGAATTTTTGCGACAAGCTTCGGACATATCAGTTGGAAGTAACAGAGCAGGAGAAAGACCTTGTCAATCACAGGATGACTCTGAACTGCCAGTATGATGTGGGCCTGAAAAAAGGCTAATGAAATACTCGGATGCATCAGGAGAGGTATTTCCAGTAGAGAAGTGTTATTACCATTGTACAAAGGCCCTAGCCTCAGTGATGTTTCACTCCATATTCTTTATGAAAATATGCTTATGATATGAATATGACATAACTGAGATATAGTTTATGCAAGATGGCTCATGTAAGATATCATTAGAAAGGTTATGATTGACTGAATGTAATTATCCAGTTTGTATGCCTGTGTGTGTTACTTTGGGAGTCAACCCCAACTAGCCCTTCAGGTACAACAGTGGAAAAGCCAGACAGGACTAATGGGCCATTAGCAGAGAAAATGGACTGTGAAAGAGCTTAAACAATGAGGAGACCTTGTGGCATCTTAGAGACTAACAAATTTATTTGGGCATAAGCTTTCATGGGCTATAACCCACTTCATCAGATGCATGGAGTGAAAAATACAGTAGGCAGGTATAAATACATAGCACATGAAAAGATGGGAGTTGCCTTACGAATTGGGGGGTCAGTGCTAATGAGGCCAATTCAATCAGGGTGGATGTGACCCATTCCCAATAGTTGACAAGAAGGTGTGAGTATCAATAGAGGGGAAATTACTTTTTGTAGTGACCCAGCCACTTTATTCAGGCCTAATTTGATGGTGTCACATTTTCAAATTAATTCCAGTTCTACAGTTTCTCACTGGAGTCTGTTTTTGGAATTTTTTGCTGTTAAGAATGGCTACTTTTAAGTCTGTTATTGAGTGTCCAGGGAGATTGAAGTGCTTGCCTACTGGTTTTTGAATGTTACAATGCTTGATGTCTGATTCGTGCCCATTTATTGTCAAGAATTGTAAGGGTTGAACCCAAGCTGGAAGAGCATCTAGCTTGTGAGTAATAATACCTGAGGTCTCAAGAGGGAGACCAGTGCAGTTGCCTTTCAAGACTTTCTGTAATCTGCCTGCAACAATATGTAGGATGAGAAATACTATTTGTAACCAATTTCTTTAGTGAAACTGGCTTAGTTTGCGTGTTTGGTTTCATTTGCTTAGTAATCTGATCTGTTCTGTATGCTACCCCTTTTACCACTTAAAATCTGCCTTTTATAGTTAATAAAATTTGTTTTGTTTATTATTAAACCCAGTTTGTGTAATTTCTAACTGGGTGGGGGAGGAGGGAAGAGGCGGATTTTATAATATATCTTTGGGTCTGCACTCCAACGGAGGTGAACACCTGTGTGCTGGGGGCAAGTCCCCTTAAGTTGAGCCTTCCCAGAACTGATCTCAATGTCTGTTTCATTCTGCAGTTGGGTGTAGCCCTGCCTGTGTGTGTGCTGGAGGAGGCTTAATAGCCTGACTCAGCAAGACAGGTAAAAAGGGTGCCCAAACTGGCATAAGAATTGGGCTCAGTGGTATGTCAGCACATCAGGTGGCATCCTAAGGAGTCCAACCTGTCACAGCCTCATCTGGAATACTGTGTGCAGTTCTAGTCTCCCGTGTTTAAGAAAGATGAATTCAAACTGGAACAGGTGCAGGGAAGGGCTACTAGGATGACTAGGAAAATGGAGAACCTACCTTATGAGAGGAGATTTAAGGAGCTTGGCTTTTTTATCCTAAGAAAATAAAGGCTGAGGGGAGATACGATTTCTCTCTATAAATACATCAGAGGGATAAACGCCAGGAAGGGAGCGGAGTCATTTAAGTTAAGGGTCAATGTTGGCACAAAAGCAAATGGATATAAACTGGCCATCAATATGTTTAGGTTTGAAATTAGACACAGGTTTCTAACCATCAGGGGAGTGAAGTTCTGGAACAGCTTTTGAAGGGATGTAGTGGGGGCAAAAACCTAATGTGTGTCAATAGTGAACTTGGTATGTTTGTGGAGGGGATGGTGATGATGAGCTTGCCTAAAATGCCATATGGTCCATCCACGACTGCTATTAGCAAATACCTCCAATGGCTGGAGATAGAATACAGTATGGGGCGGGCTCTGAGTTAGTACAGAGAATTCTTTCTCAGGTTTCTGACTGGTGGGTCTCACCCATCTGCTCAGGGTCTAACTGGTCGCCATATATGGAGTCAGGAAAGAATTTTCTCCCAGGTCAGAGTGGCAGAGACCCTGGGAGGTTTTCACTTTCCTCTGCAGCATGGGGCACAGGTCACTCGCTGGTTTGAACCAGAGTAAATGATGCACTCTATAACTTGAAGTCATTAAATAAAGATTTGAAGACTTCAGTAACTCAGGCAGAGGTTATAGGTTTATTACAGGGTGGACGGGTGAGGTTCTGTGGTCTGTGGTGTGTCGGAGGTCAGACTAGATGATCATGATGGTTCTTTTGGTTGTAAAGTCTATGGGTCTGTGAGATTCTCCAGATCTGTGAGGGTTTTAGTTTTTGAACTTATTTTATAGTTCTTCCTAACAACATTTATATAAGGACTCAGATTTGGTTAATAAATTCAGTAAATATAGTAAATTGTCCATTCATATTGGTGTCCTAATTTTCTGTATAAGACACTCTGATGCTAAATTTTTGTAGTTACGATTAATGTGTATTTTTACTACTTAATTACACAGTAAAATAACAAATGCTTATACTTTGTTGGATCAATAATAATCCAAGACAAAATTTTTGTTTTATAATGTTGCCATCTCCCTATAAAATATATAAACTGCCATCAGTAATTTACTCAAAACAGGTGTTCAGGCAGTTTAACTTGGAAGACAAATATTTGGATCAGAAAACTTAATAATTGGCACTTATTTACTGTTTTATAGTCTCAAAACACTATATAAACATTAACAGATCCTCACAACATTTCTGTGAGATTGGTAGTGTGGTCCTCATTGTAAAGAGATGTCTGGTCTTCTATTGAAAACAATGGCAAGACTTCTGTTGCAGGATTGGGCCCAGATAATTTGAGTGACCTGTTCTATGACTTCAGGAAGGCCTTCTTTAAATTAAATTAAGGCATGAAAACGTTCACTAATTTAGTCTAAATCTCAGGTTGCATTTTGAATTATCTGGAAATGTCTACATTATTTAGAAAAGTCATTTAGAAAAGCTGTAAGAAATTAATTGAAAGAGACCTTATTTTTTTCAGAATGGAATAGAATAGAAATTGATTATTAGGCTATTTAGATGGTCCAAGAACTTTTACCTATGATAATATGGTTGGACTTTGAAATATAAAAGCTTTGAAAGGGAAATAATTGCATCTATGAGATTTATTTTTTTGTTTAGAAAAGTATCAAGAAAAAAAAACATAATCACAGAAGAAAGTGCAGGTAACTCAGTGGCATTGAGGATCTGTGCTACTTAGAGAAGACTATTAATCATAGTTAAGCACATTAATCTTACTTCTTTCTAGTTAACCAGCATAATGATCAGGATTATTATTTCTAATTAGAGGAAGTAATAGATCATGTGTAACCTTAAGATGAGTCTCATTAATTAACCTGAGTCCTAAGGGATTTCAGATAGGTAGTCCATCTTTGTCACAATGAGTATCATTGGTTTACACTTAGTTCACAGGAAAAAACATCATTGGAATTGGACTAAACAACTAAAATTGATTAAAATTATAGATAAGAAATAAATACATGACAATCCTTAATATATCCTGCAATTTTATATCCAAAGTATACTGATGCACAAACATCCAGTGCATACTCTGTATAGATATATTTGGCCTGCTTCTGGTGTTGTATTGGTTTTACACTTGGGTAACTCCATTGACTTCACTGTACTTACTCCTGATTTACCCTGGTGTAAATTAGATCAGAATCAGAACCACTCTGTATACAGTTGTAGGTGGAACTGGTAGTGCTGTCTATCAGTAAGATTGCATGACACTACATTTTAAGACTTTTTTTCAATTGCTTATTGCATTATCAAACTTTAACTGAATTTTTCCATGGCGTATGTCTGTCCTAGACTGAGTATTTTGGAAGTTTTCACTGAAAAAGTTTGAGAGAGAATGAGATTAAGGAGAAATACTTTATTTTGACAACATTAAAAAAAATAGTAGTTATTTTATTGAGAACTACTAATGCCTCTGTGCTTTGGAGCAAGCACTTGAATTTTGATATAGAAACTGAATTTTTTGTTCAATTATGTGCTTTTTGCTGTCTCCATCAAAAATCAACCTAATCCGGCCAATTTATAAACCTCTGAAAAATCTCAGTTTGCACATACTCAGTGGAGACTTGCTAGAGTTTAGCAGATAAACTCCCTGAAGATTCCATCTGTACTGAATATGCTCCAGCCCAGGGCTACAGGAGCTGAGCAGGACTTTGCCATGGGGATCAGGCATAACAGCTGAGAGCAAGGACACTCTTAATTCTGGCTTTTGCTAATTTGTGAGTGCTCAACTTTACAACCTTAATATTCATTTAAGGTGTTTTTTCATGTAATGTTTGTATAAAATGGTGTTGAGAACTTTAATGTAAAACTGTTGCTTAATGGATTGAAAAGGGATACAGGATCAGATCCTCAGCTGGTGAATATATTCATAAATTCATTCATGTCACTCAAGCTATGATAATTTACATCAGCTGAGGATGTGCCTCATAATATCTGAAAGTACAAAGCAATTATATTGTCTGCTAGGGTGGTGATAGTTTTGCTTCTAAGCTAAAAACTGATGTCAATATCTATTATAGAGTACTTGTGGCACCTTAGAGACTAACAAATTTATTTGAGCATAAGCTTTCGTGAGCTACAGCTCACTTCATTGGAATGCATCCGATGAAGTAAGCTGTAGCTCACGAAAGCTTATGCTCAAATAAATTGGTTAGTCTCTGAGGTGCCACAAGTACTCCTTTTCTTTTTGCGAATACAGACTAACACGGCTGCTACTCTGAAACCTGTCAATATCTATTATGTTACATCCCCAGCTGAGGGAGGGGAAGCACATAGAGAGCATTCACTTCTCCAATATTAGTATTTCTATCTTTGACTGGTACTGATTGCTACACTTTTTACAAAAAATACTTGGTTTTATGCCATTTCAATTAGTGAGGGTTAGTAACATGAAAAAAAATACGGATCATCTTGTGAAATCACCTTTTGGTTCAACATTTCACATAGTTTATGTTCAGACACACCTATAGACTTGGCTGAAAACATTCGCCAAAGGACTGGGAATGCTAGTTTTACTTTGTTTTAAAAAGACACTTCTTTCTTGAGACCTTGTGTTTTCTTTATTGCTTGTCTGCCATGGCATATACCTGCTCTCTCAGATCAAAGTTATTCGTTTCTTGCATCAGCAGATGTGTACATCCTTTATTTAGCTATACAGTTTATATGTGCCAAGGCTGAATTGATTTCAGTGGAACTTATGTTTAAAATGGCAGCACAGCAGTATGCCAGAGAGAGAATAATAAATGACAAAATTTGTAAAAAATCAGTCAAAAGGGAATTATTGCAAATTGTGGAATTATTTCAACTGGATTACAGTTACAGGAGCACAGGCTGAGTTTGCATTAAGCTTGTTGCTTTCTGTCTACTGTAGGATAAATTGAATGCAACACACAACATTAACGAATACATGTGTTATTCCCTACTTTTAGATCACTCCAGTTCCAGGAACTCATCCACTTTTAGTTTTTGTCAACCCTAAAAGTGGGGGGAAACAAGGAGAAAGGTATGTTCTTTTCTTCTTTTGTTTTAAAAGTTTGTCAGTCTTTCTGATATGTTGATCCTTTGTGTCAAAATGCAATTGACAACCTGAAGAGCAACTAGTTCTGAATGACTTTTGGAGTACATTTTAAAAATGTGATGCCTTAGATTTGGACATCCCTAGTATTCTTTTCTGCAGAGGTATTAGTACGGTAGTTAGTGATAAGAGTGAGTTCTCTGCAATATTTTTGGTTCAAGACCCCAAATATCAACTATATCCAGTGATTTATGTATATAATTACTCCTGAGGGAATTCTGTGCAAAAAAAATAAAAATTATGCACACAATATTTTAAAATTCTGCAAATTTTATTTGTCAGTAAATAAATGTGGCTCCAGCATGGCAGTGGGGAGCATTGAGGTGGGAGATCACCCTGAAGCTCCCACCTTCTTTGGTACAGGGACTCGGCAGTGAGGCTGCACTTGACAGTGACACAGTGCAAGGGCTGCACTTGCCCCAGAAACACCCCAGGGCCCTGGCCCTCTGCACTAGATGCACCAGGTGTGGGTGGACAAGCTCAGCTCAGCAGGATCCAAGTGTGGAGAGCTTAGTGTGGGGAGATCTAGGTATGAGGCGAGAGGTTTCCATGTGGGGCAATCTGGGTACGGGTGGCTCAGTGGGAGATCTGGATGCACAGGGGCTCATTTCGGTGTTCCAGGTACAGGGGCAATGGGACTCTGCAGGGATCCAGGTGAAGGTGGTTGGGGTTCAGGAGGGCGGGTCTGGGTGTGTGGGGCTCAGTGGTGGGGTCTGGGTGCTGGGAGAGTGGGGCTTGATGGAGTAGGGGTCCATGTGTAACTGGTTGGGATCAGTGGGGTGGGGGTCTGGGTGTGGGGGGCTCGTTGGAGGGATCCATGTGTAGGGGATTAGGGCTTGTCAGAGTGAGGATTCAATGGGCCTGTTCAATGGGAGAGCCCCAATTGCTGCCAAGGGGATGCCACATGCCAGGCTCCTGCTTCTCCCAGCGATTCCCCTATCTCCTTTTCTTCTCCATTCCCCCCTTTCTTCCCCATTGTCTCTCCCCCTCGCTCTCCTTCCCTCATATCCCCCATCTCCTCTTACCCAGCCCCACTGCAGTTACCCACTGTTGTACACAGAAAGGTAGCATGACTGGCACTAGGACCCAGAGGTGGCATTAAGCTCCAGAGTCAGCAGAGCTCAGACGCAGCTCTGCACTTGCAAAAGTGGCGGGGAGCAGTGGCATGTAACCCCGTTTGCCCCCCAATGCCTCTTCTCTGTTTGGAGGGGGGCAATCCCACCCAAAAACTGTGCCCATGGTTGCCCCCACCTCATGTGGCATCCCTTTGCTTCCCTGCCATTTTCTGCAGGAATTCTGCAGGGGGACATTTTCTGTGGAAGCGCAGTCCTGCAGAATTCCCTCAGGAGTATTATAATTTAATTTGCTCTTCTGTCTCTTGTACTAATTCTGATATTTTAACAATTCTCTTTATAATTCCCATAATAGTTAGCCATTTAGGCTAATGGTCTATCAAAGAGCAATAGACATACTTTTTGTTCTGATGTAAATCTACCCTTAATATGAACAATAAAAAAAGTTTTCCACCCTCATTATAATACTGGCCACAATGGCCAAGTATTATGAGGACTACAAAAGGGAAGCATTAGAATAATGGCTATAAAGTATTAAGTCTTGATTCTGCAAACATTTACATATCTGCTTAACTTTATGTATGTTAATAATCACATTGACTTTAATGGGACTAGTCACAAGTGTTAAGTTAAACGTGTGTGTAAGTGTAGCTTAGTAGTCACACTACCCCAGCAGAGCCATGACAGAGTGGTGGCAGGGAGCCCCTTCCCACCCCCAGCTCCTCTACCGAGCTTGTGTCTGCTGGACCCCCCTGCGAAGCAGCAAGTTTGAGAGTTAACACCCACTACGATGCATGGGGAAGCGCAGACCTCTTAAAACTATTGTGTCAGGCTGTCTGCAATGCGCACAGAAATCACTGTATCAGTTACTCTCAAGTCATATTTTCGAGATTTCCTTCAAAGCCACGAGTGCTAGAAATATAATTTTATTTTCAACTAAAGCTGAAATTCTGGTGTCGTCATGCAACTTCAGGAGCTAGTGTAATGCTTGTAGTGCCAATGTCTTAATCTGGCCTTGACACTCCCAGAAGGCTAGGTTGCAGTCTTCTAGCCAAGTGCTAAATAAAGTATTCTTGGGCATTGCAGCTACTTGGATATCAAGAAGCAGCAAAGGTTACAACAGGACTCCCAAATTGTTAGTCAAGGGAAGGAGTAAATATAACCACTGCCACTTTTCTCCAGTTCCCCCCTCACACTCCCGAACACCAACATTACCTTAATTTTGTCTGTCTCAGCCACTCCCAGGTTTTGGCTAGATACTGAGAAGGCTGATCAGCTGTTCTTTCTGTGTCTAATGAAATGATGATGCAGTGTTGTCTGCATTCTAAGGCACAACAGCCCAATTAATTCACCATGTCCCCTAATGGTCTCTCCTAATTTGTATTGGCAAAGGTAACAGAGTAGAACCCTGTGGCACCCACTGGAGAGATTCTCAGAGCAAAAAAGTAATGGACTAAAACTACCATCTGAGTGCTCAGGGGAAAAGAAAAATGATGCAACTCAAGCGAATTAGCTAATCACTGGCATAACCCATACAGATGTTAACAATAATTTATGGTTAATTGTGTCAAAAGCAGGTAATTGATCTAAAATAGCCAACATGGAGACTTCCCAATCAATCACCACAAGGAGGCTGTCCATAAATGAGACTGGAACTATCTTTTCACCATAGGCAGACCTAATCTGGCTAGAAATGTGCTCTTGGCCCATAGGCAGAATATCCTCTGAAGAGGATTTTGCTCTATACCTTTAAGGTGTACTGCTGTGGTCATTTCATCTCAGTGCAAGTAACATTTCAGAAGAATAACAAGAATGTAATTAAGGGCACATGTTGTATTAAAGGATTAATTCTTAAGTGTGAATAAGTCTTCAGGACCTGGTCATAGTAATAGTATTTTACTTTTTTAATTTTCTTGGAATGCCTTTTTTGAATTGCTATCTGGACAGCAACCAAGGACAGGTAACAGTTAATTATAGACTGTAGCGGCTACACAGGGCAAAATGGGGCATTTTTCTCTACTGTTTTGCACCTTATATAGTCATTTACACCTGTGCAAAGTGAAATTATAGCACTTTACACCCACTTTGCACTCACTTTGCACAGGTGTAAATGTGACTACTCAAAGCATGAGGCAATATAGAATCATGTGCATGGTTTCTGCCCCAGACATTATATAGCTAAAAGATAGAGGATAGAATGTAACAAAACCACAATGACTATCCAGCAGTGTTTGTTGTTGTCCCTTGTTAGTCCCAGGATTTTTGAGGGTGGATTTATTTGTTATTTAGTAAAAGTAGTATTTGAAAGGAGGACGAGTGATTTGAGGTCCCTTGGAAGAAACGTGCTTTTGATGTGTTTTTGTAGTTAGTGTTTTTTGGTTTGGTTTTGTAGTTTTTTGTTTTGTTTTGTTTTGTTTTTTAAGAACTTGAAGGAGGTAAGGGGAACTACTGTGTTAGGTTAGGTCCTTGCATGAGCCTTGTACCCCTAAACTTCTGGTCCAGAGTGAGAACATTTTCTTCTGAGTCGTACTGACTCCATCGTAGTGTGTGCACTTATTTCAGCAACAGCGGTGGACTTTTCAAGTGGCTGAAATTTAAGGTTTATGAGCTATGGCACATTCCCCAAATAGAAATTACAGTAGTGTAAAAACACCTAATTTTTATAGACTAGAATTTCATTATCTTGGCTCACGCACATTAAGGTGATGTTTTACTGAAAGCTGATCTACAGACTTTACTTAGGATTTTCTTTATTTGATGTATCATGAGGAGCTGAGCTACAATTTTTAATCGAGTTTCATTCAATAAAGAAAGGTTGTGACAGATTTTGTTAAGAATCCGGTAGTTCTTCATGATGTTGTCTCTGCGGATCTCCACTGTGAGACTGTGGGTACATGAACACAGCAAAAAAACAAAACCAAAAAAATCCCAAGCCCATGGCAGTGAATCTAGAGTCCATATCAACTGATTGGGGCTCACAGGGCTTGTGCTGTCAGGCAAAAAATAGCAGTGTAGAAGTTCACGCTCAGAGATTCTACCCCCCTCCATATTGTACCACCCCATTTCAATGCAGTTAGCCTTTTGGGAAGTGTACACATACCCTTCTGTTTCAGCATTATAGAACTAATTTTATAAATACCTGTATCTTTCCCTTAGTTTCTTTCTTATTCTAGCCACACCTCTGAAACTGAAGGGAAGGAGACTGAGGAATAGTTTAGAGTAGGGCAAGTGGGTATCTTCTTGAATATTGGCACAGTGCATTCACACAGCATGTTGATCTGTTGAGGCAACATATTCAGAGAACAAAAGTTACTATGGCTAGTAGCCTCTTTTTTTCTTCAGCAGTGTCTCGTGTTATCTTTATTACAAGTAATAAAATCCAAATTATTTTCAATAAGCAGTGGCTTGGCAAATTTATATAGTTTAATAAAATGTTATTCTTGAGATTTTAAAGAAATCCATATAGCAGTAAACAAAAAAAGTTGAACAACTAGTAGATATATTTATAAAATAAAGGATACTATGAAACTTGCTCCAATTATACTTTCTTTTTAGGTGGTGGGCTAGATAGTGACTCTGTTTACAACATTTTAACATTGACTTGGACCAAGGATACGCTACGGCTGTAGAGAAAAAGTGTTTATAAAGAATTAGAAAAAAATACAATTAAATACAGTATACAATAACAGGAAAATAGCATTAAGATTAAACTGACGAATCCAAGTTTTTTGTGTACCAAACATATATTCCCATTAAAAATGATTACATAGAAGTGCAGCAAATCTCATAATGATATTAAGAGAGCCTTCACATACTAAACCAAATCATAACATGTGATTTAAAAAATACTGTGGCTACCCCAACCAAGATCCCAGCTCTGACTGCTATGGGTTCATAAACTCTCATTTGGCATTGCAGCTGTTTCTGCGCCATGTCTCAAAAATATGCCTTTTGAATTCAGACTGTCCTAGCAGGAAATGTTGCTTCTTTTACCCTTTTTTAAGGAAAGGTACATCTCACTATGCCGTATGCTCTACTCCTTTCTCCATGTCAGTATGGATGTTTTAAAGTTAAATTCACCTAATATGAATGCCCGTAATGCACCACTCTTACGACTGACTTCTCCTCCCAGTCTAGCCACCTTTCCTTTAGAGATGATTTTTAGCCTCCCAGTATATCATCTGTCTTCTTTTAAAGGCTTGATTTTCATCCCAAGAAAATCAGCCCAACCCATCGTAGCAGTCCGCCCAATGAGCTAGGTGCAGTAGTGCTACCTGACACTCTGCCTCGTGATTCTGTCTGCAGTCCTCCATCCCCCAAACCCAGTCACAAGGCAGGGTGTATTAATTATCCTCCTCTACATGAAAAAGCAACATGTCAGAATAATTGCTGTTTGCTACTGTACATTTCAAACTGGGGCAGAGAAATTATTTAACTGTCCATTTCCCAATCTTGAGCATATCACTCACATTGTTTCAGACAGTTACAGTTTAGCATAAAGGGAAACATTTACAGGCAATTTCTTCCTTCTTCTTAGTAAACGTATGAACTAAAATGAATCATTCCCGAGTTCTGGCTTTTGCACAAAGAGTAAATCTTAGCGTTACAATAGTAGAAAGCAGGATGTGTGGGCTCACCATGACTCATCACTGAATGATTCTGATAGTGCTGACTTGAACATATCTACTGGCTGGAATAGGATATGTTCAAGTAAGAGGGCAGTGATAAGAATATTTGCTAGTCTCTACATTATAATGTGATCGGGTGAAGATTATTAGTGTGGTGAAAATATTGAGTAAGAATGTCACTTGACTCACTGTAAACTGTGCCCAGGTAGTAGTTAAAATCAGCACTATCAGACTCATTCACCTCAGACTGATGAGTTATGACCCACCCCAAATAGCTAATGGATGAACATTTAAGGCAGTCACCTGTGATGTGCCCTAACCACCAGGCTAAAGAGTCAGAGTCTCCTAGTCTGTGGCCTAATGAATATTTAATTATTTACACAAAGTAGAGCAGGTCTGACAGCAGAAATTGAAAGAGAGATTGACTGTTGTGTCCTAACTGGACTACTGGCTATTCTGGGTTGGTGCTCTCTTAAGAGAGATTATGTCCGTCAAAGAGGGCTGGCACATATGTACACCAGCCGGCAAATTGGAAGTGCAATCTTTTGCCTTCTCATGAATAAGATACTGCACTCTTTATAGCTAAATGTTTGTGAAAAGACAGACAGCATTTTAAAATCCACCTGTCACACGTCTGGTTTAGTAATCATCATGATAATTCAGAGTAGTCTGCCCATCTGCAAGATGAAGCCAGTCACACACATTGACTTTCTCTCATGACTGGTACTAGGGCTGTTGTAATATGAGTGAGTGAGAGTGGGTGGGGTGATTTATCAAGGGACTGACAAGCATTGATAAATGATTGGACTTTAAAGAAAATCTTCAGTATGGTCATTTACAGATGACTATATTTTAAGAGGTTTGTTTAAATAAAGCCTTTCCCTCTCCTACCCTGGTAAATTACACATTTATTACCAAAAAAGTACATAGATATTATGTACAGGCAACTTTGGTTTTTTTCTCATTTGAAACCATTCAAACATTGTAAGTTCAAAAGTTCAGTTCAGATGTTATTAGATTCCCATTTTGCTTAGGGGAACATCTGTGGACAAAGGAGCAGAGAGGAAAAATCTAATGGAAAAATAGGGTGAAAATGGAGCAGAGTGGGAGAAAAAAACAACAACTAAACAGAGACTTTTAAAAAGGAACAGATAAGGAAGAGAGAGATATTACAGTGAAAAAACTAATACAGTATTAAAATGTGTGATGCCAAAATGTCAATTATTCTGAGGAAATATACATTTAAATTACAAGAAGGAGGAAAGGCTTTATGAACTCAAATTAGTATGATAGATCCCAGTCACCGTGTCAGAGGGTCACTCCATGAGGAATTTTCTCATCCATGAGTGAGAAGTGGAAAAGAATATTTATGACAAGGAAACAATTCTAGTCGTTGTCATTACTAGGAATTATTTAAACAATTCAATACTGTGAAACAAAACGTATCCTAGTTTTAGGAGACATAGCCTTGATTTTTAACAGAAAATTGTTGTTGTTTGTTGTTTGTTGTTTGTTTATTTATTTATCATAGTGCCTAAAACCTCTAATCATGCACATGGACCCCACTGTGCTAGGCACTGTACAAACACAGAGCAAAAAGATGGTGCCAGCCCCACAAAGCTTACAATAAAAAAAAGTCTTGCCAACCCTTTTGCAAATTGTTTTCTTTATCCTAATAAATATTTGATGGCTATTTTTGGTTATGGGATATGACAAATCTTTGTATAACTGTATCAATAAGTCCCATTGTGACATTGATATTCGGGGAAAACATTTAATTTTAACTAAGGCTTTTCAAGGCTTTTCATGACTGCCTCATGAATCTCTGCTACACTCTCCAACTATGCTTGTACTCTCCTCGCACACCCTCTGCTCAGCACTTTCATACTAATTTTGTCTCCTAGTGATGACTCCACACCTTTTTTTCATGATGATTCCTGTTTCTGGATCAGCGTGCCCTATCAGGTGCTCCCCATTTGCATTCCTACATATTTTTAATAAATGGTCAGAACATGAGAGCTCCAATTATTATAAGCCAAAATTCCCATATATATAAAACACTGGGAAAAATAAAAATGATTTTGTAATTTTTGGTGGGTAAAAACACTACTACTTTGCCATCTGATTGCACCCTCAAATCAAATAGATGTCTAAATGCTAGCATTTGCCTCCACAATTAATTTTATTTTAATTAATTTTGTGCCAATAATTAATTGCAGGTATAAAATTGTGCTTCTAAAATTTTGTACCCAAATGCTTTCCCAGGTGCTGTTTTGCCTCATCCTTTTCTTTGTCACCATACCTATCCCACCCACATGCTGGTGATGTCTACTCACCTGTTATTTATTTACTCTGTATTTGAACCTTGTCTCAATGCTATACCTACAAAACTCTATGCACATATACAGAGCTATATAAATTGTAATAGAAACAATCATATATTTGATTTGCTTTATTGTAATAATGTGAGATTTTATCTTAAATTATTAAATGTATTAAGGTACAATTTATGTTAACCGCTTACGTTATTTTATTCAAATTTCTTCCATTTGTTTTGTTTTTTCAAAAATCCAAAAGCATAATTTATTAATTTAAAAAAAATTACTAAACACTTTTCTCCTAACTTTTTCTCTTTTGCAGAATTTACAGAAAATTTCAGTACCTTTTAAATCCTCGTCAAGTTTACAGTCTTGCTGGAAATGGACCAATGCCAGGGTAAGTCAAAGGCTAATAGCATTACCAGGAACTCATTTAATAAAATACTGCATAATTAAATAAACAGCCTGATACACATAGATATAGTATGTTTTTGAATGTGTCAGCAGCACATATTTATGTATTAACTGCAGAAATGACAAAAATTATGTGTGAATGTACACATATAAAAGCATCATATATGTGGTATTGATAGCCCCGAGTGCAGTGTGTCAGATCTGTTCTGTGATTTCCACCCTCACCTGTCGACTGCCTCTAATATACCATATATCTGAGCAGCCTCAATAAGCTACTTGTGGTAGAAATATTTCCTTCTGTCTTCTAACTATGGAATATTTTCCCCAAAAAATGACATTGTCCCTAACACACCTACTCATTCTATAGATCATGGAGCCACCGGGAGCAAAATTGGCAGTTGATGTAATTTAGAACAGCCTAAGGGCGTATCTAGGTTATGCTGGCTGCAGCAATCCCACTGGTTCTCCACTCTACTTCCAGCATGCCCCTTCCCTGCTTCTCCCACTTCCAACAGGCTCCCAGTGGAAGGAGCATAATGGGTAGCATATAACCAACTAGTCTGATTTTAAGTCACTAAGAATGGTATGTTAAAGAGTTTCTGCTATTGCTGCTTAATGAAGGCTGGAGACTCAGGGCCTGAATCTCCTTTTATACCCATGTAAATCAGGTGTAAATCCATTAATATCATTGCAGTTTTATATTGATGTAAAATTGGTGAAAGTGAGGGCAAATCAGGCTCAGGTTTTTTACGACTTGGGTTTTCAAGGTGTGTTGCATTGTGGTGGCTGTGTCTTCTAAAGGAAAATAGAAACTTAGAATCTGTGGAATGGAGAAAAAATATATTGAGAAACCTTGAAACTATGGGATCCATGATATATTTTTTTCTTGCCTATGATATTCTCCTGCATCCGATGCAAAGGCAGGTTTTGGGTTTTTGCTTTTATTGTTTTGAGGACTTTGGGGATTTTTTTGTGTTTCATTAAACTCACCTTGGGCATAGACCAAACATGAATGAATAGATTGGGAAATTATAGCATGCTATGTCAGAGGCTATTGCTAAATCTTACGAGGGCATGACCCTGTACCATTTTATGAACTGTATAATCCTTCAGACCCCATACTTCAGACTGAGTACCAACTTGACAATTTTTAAAGCTACTGAAATAGCTTTCTTCAAATTTAGCTTACTTTGTAAATTTTATTGAGACTTAAAAATCAAAGCAAGTCTGGAACCTCTGTGTACTGACAGTAATTGTAGTTTATATTTTACTTTGTAACATTTTGTCAGATAACTTGTTATGATATAAAGAGAGAATGTGTTTTAAGGCATAAGCACAAGAGGGCAGTATTAGGTGCAGACTCAAAGCCCTAAACTGGGAGTCTCAACTTTCAAACACTCTCTCTCTTTGAACCATAACAGTGGTTTTTAGGTTTTTTTGAATTTCTCTTCTAATTAGGAAACTAACTGTTTTACTTAGTGTTTCTTTGAAGAAATTTCTAATCAATTTTCAAGCAGTTATTGTATTTAATTAATCAAGTTTTTTTTATTTATTGCATAGAAATGAATACTCGTATGTTTCCAGGTATCTCTTGCCAGCCCTTCTTCATTCAGGCACTAGAGTGTGGATTGTGTATAATTTGTCCCTTTTACAGGAAGTTGGTTCTGTGAAACTCCAGACAGTTGAATAAACCTATTGTCTAACTCATTTACCCATTTTTTGTTTGTCTTCACATAGGCGTTTTATCAAACACAAGCCAGTTATTTGAGATTGTCAGTCAAACCTTTACATTTATTAAATTTCACCATATATTGCATTTCAAGTAAAGGGAAATATGGAGGGGAGTTGAATACCACAACGAGAAATAATCAAGAAGTATGCACTTCCCACCACTATTACTAAATCGAAAAGGGCTATATAAATGCAACATAAATATTTATTTTTAAATTATTTATTCACATTTTTCATGATCACCATAATCCATTTAAATTGTCTCTCTTGAGACTATTTTATTGAGCATTTAATTTCACTTCAGATATGTTTATTGGACTTACGTATTGTTTATATTATTACTGTGCACTTTAGTTGTTTTCTGTTCAGTTAATGTTAATTGAAAGTTTTCAGTTTATTTTCGAAGGGGATCTTTGTGCTGTTAAGAGCACTGAACAAATATGCCGGGGAACCAGGAGAGTAGGAAAACCCCAGGTTGCAGAACAGGTCTGAAGCTGTAGCACTCCATGGAAGCAATTAGAACCCACTGGCTGGGTCCCTCAGCCTCACCTCTATGATGGAATGCCCAGAGCCTTTTCCCCGTGCATATTGCCACAGAGGGCCCATCCACAGAAACAGGCTGCTGCAGTACCAATTGAGCCTCAGCCCAGACGGAGACAGGGGCAAGGTTGGCCCATTAATGGAATCATATCTGTCATTTTTTTGAAGAGTTTAAATAAATTCTGGACACAGTGGATTCAACTTTCCCCACTAATTCTCTCCTATTCAACAAAGCATTTCAGAAGGAGATTGTACCTTTTAGAACGACAGTTAGTGTGCATATGAAAATGAATCTGCTGAACAGTAACAGGTTGGTAGAGGTCAATGTGTTGAATCTGCTGCTGCTGTCTGTATCCTGACTGGGAAATGGTCAGGTCATCTCGGAGGGAGATATTCTGTAGCAGTTCTGAGAATGGATGGAGATCTGGAGGGACTGGGACAAAGGCAGATGCTCCTGTGTAAGTGATCAGGGGTCTCAAACACAGGTCCCCAAGCAGTCTTCAGCCACCACTCGGCCACTTGCTTGTACCAGCAGAGAGTGTGGGCTAGTGGACCATAGCTCACCATAGGCACCATCCACCAAGCTCCCCATTGGAGGAGATTTACGGCCTCTTCAGTTGGCTCAGATTCACTATTTAAGTCAGAAAGAGGCGCAGGAAGTTGTCTTAGCAACTAGGCAAATCTCTGGGTGGCTGCTACATTGAATGATGCCTTCTTGCCTGACTCTTGAGCCCTGCCTTGTTCCTGATTCCTGCCTTCCTGTCCTGTTCCTGGTTCCTGCCCTCCAGGCTTGTTTCAGATCCCTGCTTCTGTGCCCCACCCCTGACTATTGACTCTGTCTCCGACCCTTGACTTGACTCTGTCTCCATCTCTGACCTCTGGTTCCTGGCTTCTGACCATGACTGATCTGAGCACTAGGAATGATCACCCCTGCTCTGACTACTAGATCTAACTGCCTGCGTCCCAGACTACAACATCCTGGTGGCTTCTCAGACTGGCTAAGCTATGGTTTTCAGAGCTGCGTGTGGTTGGGTCTATCTCAGTTTAAAATTGAGAGACTCATGTACATAGTGTAAATAAAAACATGTACATGATGTCAATAAACAAATCTTCCGCATCTGAGTCGGGGATATTAGTTTCTCACCAAAGACCAGCTGCAGGGTCCCAAAATCAACTGCTGCTCAGCAGCAGTGCTCTAAGCACTGGCACCTGAATTAATGGCTTAGAAATTCTTGATTTGGGAGCAGAAAGATACGGGTGCGCTAGAAGAACCCTGCAAATGCAGCAGCTGAAGTATAAACACAAGCATAAAAGGTACTGCACAGTTATAGACTGCCACAGTTAACAAATTGACATGAAAATTGCCAGCCTGATACATTGTGCAATTTGTGACGCGCACCTGTGTTTTTAGCCTTGAAAAGAGTTTCCGTGTTTGGTTGTTATATCTCTATAGGAGTCTTCTACTTCTGTCAATAACTGTTGTTGTGGATTTAATGATCTTGAAGAATCTGAAATTCAGTCATCATTCACCTTACAGAGAGGTAAATACTAGTTGGATGAATAGGAGTTGAACTGTAGACCCACTGACACTGCGGAGAGGTCACCATTTCTCAAAGGCTTTGGCCATCTGAAAAGACTTCACATTACATTAAGTGCTTTATTTGAAATGTCTAATTTATATTATTTTATACCTGATCATGGGAATTATGTCCACAAAAACTGTATATGTGTTAACTGTCTTAAGTACTTAATTTGGTAAAATCTCATTTTTAGGAATTCATACAGAAGTTTGTACCACAAAAAATTTCCCTTCCATCCACTTAAAAAACATCATAAGTCTGCAGCATGAATCCTCACAACTTTCTCTGTAGTGCAGTGGGAAATCTATAGCAACTTGACCTTTGTGACTTCACAAATGACAGAGCTATTTTGAGAATTACGGTTTTTCCTTGATTATTGAAGTCCATTATCACAGTCTGTTCATGCTCATTTTGCTGTTACAAATCCAGGGATCTGTGAAGCCTTTCAGAGAAGTAGATATACACTCTAGAACTGTTTCTTAGAAGGCAAAAGTTGCCAGTAAAGGTGGTGGTACAAAGCCTTCAAAACAAAATCGTGAGTCCATGATTTTTCTGAAGGACTCCTTCCTTAAAAAGAGTTATGTTTTACCCAAAGAAAATCTGTAGCCTGCCATGGCCCCCTGCTGCTGTCATAATTAAAACTCTAAGAATATAATACAAGTGGATAAAGACTCAGAATAAATGGTAACAGGTGTAACTTAAATCTTGTCCATACGTGTATATTTTCAACAACGTGTTTGCCCTGTTGTTCAATAAAGTATTAAATGCACAAATATGCAATGGATACCCTGTGTTACCTGACAACTGAATTGTTTATTTTAAAGTATTTTTAACCAAATCATGAGCCACCCTTTCTTGTCTGTCCAGTGTGCCAAAGCTCCCATTCAGGCTTTTTTTAACTAACATCAAAATTACTGTAATCTCCTTTCTGGCTGCATTACTGTAACCTTGTTAGTCTCAAGTCCATTAAAAAAGTTACTGCCAAAATCATTTGACTCATTGCTTCGATTCTGCCACCCTGCTCTTTGAGACCCTTGACTAGTTCCTTTTCACCATCATATCAAATATAAATAGAAACTGAATATCTCCACCTTTAAGGCATTTCACAACTGAGCTGCGCTCTGCCAAGTAG